CTGCGCCCTAATGGAGTCAGAATGAAAAAAGGAAAAGGAGCCTACAAATAACAGTAATGATTATAAAAATGAACCTGGTACATTTAGATCAGCATTTGTTTGTTTGCGGGGTTGACGTTGTACACTAGTTTTCTGCTTCATTTTCTTTTTCTTGGCTGCATTGCCTTCTAGTCCAGGATTGTTTCAATTTATTATTACCATCCTTAGCTACCTAATTGGGCTACTAATGAATACAAATAATCCAGGCATCAGGCTTTTACAGACCCACTTCAGTGTACAAATAATGGTTTGTTGTGTAACTGCTGATTATGGAAGAAGGTAACTCACATTACGGAAAATATGTGCTGAAGTATTGGTGATGAGGAAATAAATGGATTCTGCACTATGCCTTTTACATTTTGAAAAAGTATTGTCATTCTTGTTCCATCGAGTTGTCCGTCATAAGAAAACGTGACATCATCTGAACCTGGTTTTTCAGCACGTTTACTTACCTTTGGAACTTAATTTCAATTTTTTGACTGCCTGTATTAGCACTAGCACATATGAAATTTGTAGTTGGCTACCAAATTGCCTATTCAAGTACATATGTATGGGGCTTGAGCACTCAACATTAAGCATTTGCATTTCAAAATTGCATCCCTTGTGCTTGAAAGCCTTGAAAATGGTACTCTGTGGTCAGCCTAGTGCAGCGTCAATTGAAATGCTGTTTGAATGCAATGTAGAGCTTCCAACTGCTGCTTCAGAAAGTGTTATGCTGAATCTGGAACACTTTGCATAATTTAATTAATTATGCCACTAAAAACTGATTTTCTCTCAATTTAAAGCAAACAGCTTTTATGAGGGTGAACTGCAGCACCCAGGGATATCAGGTGTCCAAGCTTTTAATCCTATTACAAAGACTTGACAACCACTGATGGAAACTGGAAAAACATAAGCCTCCAGCAGGGCAACAAGTGAAGAGGAAGAAGGCAACAGATTTTTAATACTCTTTGAAACCACTGTATGCATTAAATCAAAATCAAATGTAAAAAGTAAGAAAGCTGGTAGCTTGCACTTTGTTGTGCAGACAGTGAATATTGTCTAAGGAATAGTGCTTATTTTGCTTTGACATTAATGAAAATAACTGTTTCCTCTAAGAGGAAAAGTGTTCTGTTTAACTAGCATAAGAAAAACATGGTGAATGGCCAAGACTATTTGTATCTGTGTCTATTCACTTAGTGTTCAGTAGCTCAACAGTCACAAGTTTTGAAAGTGGTTTCTAATGTTACAGATTGGATTCTGCCTAGAAATCATTTTCTATAGAAGCAAATCTTAACAGATGATTCCAGACTACAGGTATTAAGGATACTGTCACTTAAATGCTAGCCTTGATACTTTGGCTTTCTGAAACTTGTCTTCTCTCTTCCAAGAGATTATTGGATTCAATATCACACTAAAACAGCAGACACTGTAATTTTGAGGCAGAAAAAAAGAGTACTGATTTAGAAAAGCTCTAATTTCTGTGCCACATAAGCGGAGCCATAATTGGCAAACTATGACTGACCTTGCAAAATTCTGTGACCAGGTTAGGAAGGGTCATAGAAGAATTGACTCCATCTCCATATCGAACATCAGCATGTAACATGAAATTAACTCCTCTGTAGAAGATCTTGCTGATAAAAATAGGGAAAATATCTCATTACTGGGAATTCAGCAGCCCTATAAAATGCAAACATTTTCCTTATAATGTTAACAAATAATATAATTACTAATATATATTTATGTAGTATTTGTGTTCTTCATATATATGAGATGCTACTCCTGGCTAAAAGGGGAAACAATAGTTAGAAGGGCTCATTGGAAGAGCTTTAACCTAGATTTAGAGGGGCCCGGGATAAAATCCAGCTCATCAGAGATGTCTGGACGAGGCACACCAGTGTTTGAAGGACAGTATTTTAGCCAGGTCCTTTGCTCTGCCATCTCGCTGGAGGTAGAGGATGGAGAGCTATGTGGTGGGAAAGACTGCAAAGTGGGTTGTTTAAGTGCTAGAAATTGCAGAAACACCTAAGAATAGTCATGTAGGAATTACTTGTCTCCCCCAAAAAGATGGTGGGATCAATAGGCCAAATGAAATGCATCTAGAGCAATGCACACAGCATGGCCACCAAACAGGAAGAGCTGGAAGCCATTGTGCAGCAGGAAAACTGCAGTGTTGCCAGCACGAAGACGTGGTGGGATGACTTCCACAACTGGAGTGCTACAATGGATTGCTATAAACTCTTCAGAAGGGATAAGCAAAACAGGAGGGTGGGGTAGGCCTCTATGTTAGGGAGCGAAATGCATACATCACAATGGTAAAAAGCAGAAAATTAGAGAATATAAAATTGAAAGGGAAAAAAAAAATCTTTTTTCAAATAAGATTTAGCTGCTTTACTATGCATTTAAATGTATGTTCATGCTTTTTGGGAGTGTCTTAGTTCTCAAAATAACAGAAAATGTGTTCACTTGTTGGAGGTCATGAGATTCAAATCATATATTTACCAGCTCAAGTATGTTCACTTTTATGTATGCATAAAGGTTATGAAAATTTCTTGTAAAATAATAAAAGTATCTCATATAATTGATTATTTTCATTGTTTTATAAAATTACTTTGTTTGATGGCAGGAGATTTTGGACTGAATTTTCATTACCTACTTCTGAACAATTTACACTGGGATTGAGACAGTATTGAGCTAATGAGTTAGAATTTATATTGAGCCTTAACTGTCTTCCTGAAGTAACTAGGGAAGAAAATCATGGCAGTAATGGAGTATTTTTCATTATAAACTATGTTGTACAGCTTTTACAATCAGGTTTTTAATAGATCTAGAGAAATTAAATTGGAATTCTACCAACTTCTGTGCTTTTGTCATCCAATGAAAATGATGTTAAAATATGTCAAGACTAATAGGCTTATCCCCTTTCTACTGAAGTAAGGAGATGATGTTTTTCCTGTTGTTTTTCAGTCTCTGTTGTTCATTAAAGAGTAAGATGTATGTAGAAAAACATTCAGAAATAGGCACTTTGCTGTAATCCATAATGCTAAATAGAAACTGAGCATAGATCAAATACATCTTGACTTATGTCATCCTAAAGTCCCTATCAAGAGATTCTCCCATGAAAATAGTAGACATCTTTAAAGTCAGGAGGTTGAAATTGTGCTCCACATGAAAAAGGAAGCAATCATATTTTGCTGATGGGTATATTAATACTGCTGAGAATGCATGCATATATCCATATTTATTAATATATTCAAACATTGTTTATTGATTGTGTATGGCAAACAAATTCATACAGTCAGTGTATAGATTACTACACAGTAATCTATACACTGACTGTATGAATTTGGTTACCATACACATATGCATATGCATTGAGTGTATGCATAAATATACATACACTCAATCTCAGCATTATATGTAAGTACACCCCAAGGATAATATAATGTGTTAGCTTGGAAGATCTTAACCTTTTAATTGCATATAAATATATAAATTAATAATGAGATATTAACTATTATTGTCCTTTATACAGGATGCATCGTATATTCCTTTGATTGTATCTTATTTAATTCTATGGTTATTTTTTATGAGGAAGTCTGCAATAGTGAGAAAGGGTGTTTCTCAAATAAATGAATTATTTCTCATGTCAGTACTTATTTCTTCTTTGCTGTTAGTCTGTTCCACTACCAGAAGACTGCAAGAATCAATATAATCTCTTAGATTTTTATTAATAATATGAAATAAAAATTGAATATACAAAATAGAATCATCAGCCAATAATCTATGCATGCATGTTGGTGCCCTCAAAAAGAATTAATAGATTGTTCTTTTAATTACTTCAAAGAATGTTTATTTATTCACATATACAGGACACAATATAAATACAGTTTAAATTTTAATTGGCATAACAGGACATATTTTTGTTAGATATTTTGTAGGCAAAAATATCCTATCACATATTAAATAGTTTTATTTTCTAAGTATGAGAAAAGTGTATGTACAATATACACAAAACACAGACTTCATGTGAATGAGCACAACTCTAATACTCTAATGCTACCTCTTAGTTATTCTTACCTCAAAAGTTATTTTTACATACCTTTTTCAGAGGGTGGAAAAATACCCCAACCCTAAAGTCCTTCCCCAACCAACATATTAAAAAAAGAGAATTAAAAATAAATTGCCACTTGCAAAAAATGCTGGCCTTGCTTCCAAATTCAGAAACTGAAAATTTGGAGTCTTCATTCATCCAAATAATATATATTCATTCCCCACAGGCAGCAGTGATGGTTCTTGGGATAAAGAAAAACTTCAGTCTCCCCCCACCCAAGGATCACAGGCCTCTGTTAACCACCCCAGCTTGCCTGGACAGCATAATGTTCCAGTTAGCCATCCTCTCAACCCTCTTCAACAGAACCACCTTCTGCCAAATGGTACGGGTTGACATCTTTCAGCACTAACATCAGCAGTTTTCTAGTTCCTGTCTCTTCTTTTTTTGTGTGTGTTCACATAAATAGGCAATGAAAAAATCAAGGATGTGCAGAATACTGGAATGCTCCCTGTAAAGTATTAAGCAGGGGAAGTGGAGACAGTAAAGAACAAATACATATGCAATAAAATTGATAATTAAAATAACTGCTAACTTGCGCATCAGTGGCGTAATGACGCATTGCTAAGGCACCTTACAGCAGATATCAAAAACTATAATAAATAGCCATTGCTTAGCAATGATACCATACATTGCACAGATATGAACAAACTAAGAGGTCTAATAGCCTCTCCTTGTGGCTAGAAACTTTCCATGGTTGCTAGTGATTCACCCCTGCATCTCCCAGCAGAGAACTGATGTAGACCTGCTTTTTCCTGCAATGTGAACCATCTTGCCACCTGTCACTTGAATAATGTCCATCAGGAGAAAAAAAAAGACAGTGCTTAAGAAAAGATGCATAAACCTATTTCCCCGTTTTTCCCCTCAACAGGGTTGGAACTTCCTTTTATGATGATGCCCCACCCACTGATTCCCGTGAGCCTACCTCCAGCCTCTGTCACGATGGCCATGAGCCAGATGAACCACCTCAGCACCATTGCCAACATGGCAGCAGCAGCACAAGTGCAGAGCCCTCCATCCAGAGTGGAGACATCTGTTATTAAGGTAACTGTAGAACAAACTGAACCAAACCAAACCAAACCAAACCAAACCAAAAGGCACCAAATTGTAGCCCACTCCCAACCACCATAAATGGTGTAAAGGTGTATAGGTGTCAAATGTAATAAGGTAAGTCACAAAGTCAATAAAGGCAAGAAAACTAAGTGTGGTGACTGTGAGAGCGCAGCAGGCTACTGGTAGCCCCTGTTTCCTTCTCAATTTCCCTCCATCTCTCTAAATCAGTATTAAAGCAACACTCAAATTGAAGAATTTTCATACGCAGCTTTGTGATTTCTCATATTTCATAGTCTGTTATCTAATGTTCCTTGAGATATCATGAAAAAAATTACTCTTAAATTAGAAGGGATTGTTCTTCCAATTTTAAAACCTAAGCATTGGAACTGAAATGCTCTAAGTTATCTGAAGAAGACTGAAAGGTTTGATACTTCACCTATGCAGAAACTAAATTTGCCAAATCCCAAACAAATTAGAATGAAGTAGTGCAGAAGAGTCCCTGTAATCTGCAGGCCAGAACTGTAGTATTATAGGGATATCTCAAAAATATCTGTTATCTGAACTTGTCTACCTGTTTTAGGTTTTGTTTGTAGCCTTTAATTAAACGAATCTGGTTATAGAGGCATTTACCAGAGGCATGGACTCTTTTCTTCCTCTTACTAAAGGTGACCTGTTTTCATTTTAAAGGCATTTCATTTTAAAAGACACTTCCCTGTTACCATTAGATAATTATGACTTGATCTTTATTCAGATATCTACATTTTGCTACTTATCCTTCAGTTCTAATAAATGAGAAAGAGAAAGCACACAAACTTTTGTTCTTTTATCTAATGTATCTTAGAAATAGATACACAAAAGCAAGTTTATGTGTTTTTTCAGGGCTATGTTGGAAATCTATCCAGTTATGCAATTCTTTTGACAAAAATTAGGTAAATTTAGAGTCTCTTGGACCTTTAAATTAGGGGTTACAAAAGTTTTGAAGTTCATGATAATTTAAGTAGAGTGAAGAGGTCTGACTTTATTAAGATATTCAACATACTGGTGCACCTTTTTTATTTAACCTAACAAGCACAGAACCGCAAATTACTGTTGAGTTAAAAGTCAGCAAAGCGATGCTTTTATTGACCTAGGAAAAACGATCTAATGGCCTAATTTAGTCACCTACACTTCCAAATGTAGGGTCTTCTTTGGAGGCCTTCAGGGGCATTCCTTTCTCATCTTTGTTGACATGAGGAGTTAAGATACTGGTTTGAGAAGAATTGTTTATTTGGGTTGTATGCCAACAAGACTAGATATACCCCAGTTTCCATCTTGCCCATATCTTGTGGCTATAAGCACTCTGCTGCTAGCTAACTGATTACATGGTGATATTTGCACCTTTATCTTTCTATTTTTACTTGATTGGTATTTAGTGAGAGTTACATGATACTAGTGTTCTCTGGAACACACATGGTGCTTTATTTAATTCTAAATTTATTTTCTTAATTGGAACAGTGGCCACTGGTACTACAGCAGTATCTAAAAAATGAAGATTGAGATGGAGATGGAGCACATGCTAAATGACACCTGACATATGAATTACTGTGCCAACAACACTTTGTTTTCACTATTTTCATGCTATTTTCCCTCTTTTCATTTTCTATGAGAAATTTTATTTCATATGTAAGAGTATAAAATTTGACCTTCATGAGCATTGATAACCTTCTGTTTCTAAACTTTAACAAGCTGACTTCTAGCTTGTAAAGCTGATTTACAGGTTAGTTGTAGCTATTAAAACTGCCTAAGTTACCATGGCCTACATTTAAATATGTCTATGGGAGCATATTCGAGTGTGCCCTCTATTTTTTCTCCAGTTACCACAGTCAGGTACATTTGAGGTGCATTAACATGTCTCATAGGCCTGTAAAAGTGGTTTCCTTTTGGGGAAAGCAGGTCCTGCTCTGTTGACAGATCTGCCCCTATTATGGGAACATTGCTGGACCTAGGAAGCACTTAACTGAGAAGTACTTTTGGCTTATGTGATCTAAACCTGTCTAGTAGATTTAAAACTATTGGACTCCAAAAGGGGACATACTGTCATCATATAACTGTGTATATTATTGTAATTGTGAGCAGTCCCATACCAGAAAATTTTCCTTATCCTGGGGTCCTTTACTTAACAAGTTCATTTTTGTAACTCATCTATTTTCTTTAGCAGAGATAGATTCCTTATAATCTAGGTTAAGACCTTGAAAGTACCTAGCAATTTAGGCTCTCTGAAACATTCTATCAGCACACTGTAACTGGAAAAATCATAATTTCTTTCCAAAAGCTTGCTTATTTAAGCATTTGTTTGTATTAATAATCTACAGTATGTATCAATGTCATTTTTGAAAATTCAGCTCTCATATTCATGCTAATTAAATATTCATTGTAGCTGCCAACTTTTGCATAACTTCTGGCATAACATCCTGTGCAAGTTATTTGACAAACCAGGTTTCATGTTCCCATCTGGTTTGCACATAATCGTAATATAAAAATATGTGGATTTCAATGAAATGTTTTTAAATTACCAAATTAACCTAAGTTCTCTTTAGAAAAGTGTGCACATACGAGGATGAAATGCACATTTCTTTTGAAGTTTGCACTAATAAGTTAAGGATTGTGGGTACTTTATGTAGAACATGACATTACCCATGTGCTGTCTTGACTTCTTCAGTCAAGGCTTGTGACATATTGCTCACAATTCATTTCTACTACAGGTGAGTCCATAAACACAAGTTTTAATCTGTCACTCAGAACTCACTTCTAAATGTAAGACCTTGCTGTACATAGTTATTTCAACAGTACTATAAGGGCTAAGGAATTTACTGTTTCCTACTCATTCCTTCAGCCTCACTGTGGTACAACATATGTCTAGATTTATGTCCTCTGTTATTATCTATTGCAGATGGATATGGTCATGTGGATAGAGGTAGCACAGCCAAGTAATTATGTTCCTATTTTTTAATACTGAACAGGATTGAAACATAAACCCCAGAAACTTAAAAGCATGAGGTCATTATCAGGAGATTTTCTTCCCATGAGGATGGACATAATGTCACTGGCAATTTACCTGTTCTTCTCTAGGCATAGTCAGAGGCTGTGATTTTAATGTCCATTGAATTATATGCACTGAGTAGTTGAGCAGGAAACCATAATCAGCATACTTCTTGAACCTTGTGCTGGCAATGTAATGTTTATGAATAATAACCTATACTACAATCAAAATAAATATCTTCAAGAATAAATGTAAGTGAGAAGGTCAAACCTCCTTTTTCTTTATTTTTACAGGATTGGATAAATAGTGCAGTTGCTCTCTTTCATGAAACTGTTTGTTATTAGAATTATAGCTTCCAGTTTTTTACATCTATTCTTTTCAGACGTTTGGTTTTATTTTCATTATGGTTTGACTAATTTTTTTAACCCTAATTTTACTGAAGTATTTTCTTCTTAGTATCAGTATTTCCACAAATTCAAAAGTTTTTGAGTCACTCATCTCGGAGTTTGTAGTTGTAACCTGAAATGACAGCACAGATTTGAAATTAGAGTACAGCATGTTTGCCAGTGTAAACTCTGCTTGAAAGTTAGCAGGCCTGTGAGAAATTTCAACTCTGAAAAGTAAATCAATAGTAACCATATCTAATTAAATAACAAAGAACAAAATTAAGTCTTAGAAAATCAGAGTCTTCAGATTATGAACAACCAGGTTCATTGGGTAGAAGAATTGCCTTTGTGAACAGTGCCACAGTAGATGACTTGCTGACCTTTCCTTCCAATTCACTGACTTCACAGCTAGTGCTGTTATCTTTAAACTCACAAAGCTTCAAATGCCTTTCTATTACTGGGCAATATTTCATTTCTTCATGATAAGATGTTGGAATAAAGCTGAGATCATGTACTAACTAAACATTTTATCCTGCTGTATTCAGGAGATGAGACAAAGACAAAATTACAAGGGAAGCCTTACAAAGCAACACCTTAGATTTGGCAGTGAACTCTGAGCCCTAAAATCTTCAGAATTATATTTCAGAAGAGTGTTGTGCCCTTTCGAACATGAGACGAACATTAGATGTCTTTTTGTAATGGAATGTTTAGATATATGAGTTGGATGAATAAGAGGAGAGCAACAACAAGCAGGGACAGCAGATTGTGACAACAATGAATTGCAGTGAGTGTGACAGCTGTGACCTGGGGATGCTTTAGACATGAAGTGGCTTTCATCACCTGCCCATGGTTTCAAAGGCTCAGCTTGTTAGCAGTTTCCCTACATCAATTTTTTTTCACTCAGCAAAAAGATATATGAAAATATAAAGGACATGCCTTATATTGAAATTACATTTTAAAAGTTAGAACAGAGCAGCAGCATGCCAGAATCAAAAATTGCAATTTATCTGTATGTGACTAATACCTATAGAAAGAATTAATAATAAAACAGAAGAAACCAACACCTTCAGCTGAAAAAGTGAAGACAGCAGTGGTGCAGTAGTTTTCCACTGTGTAATGAATACATCAGACTAAACTTTGCTAATTCCCTCACATATATCACAGCACTGGTTGTGTTACATTATCTTATACCTTTTTAAAATCTATTTATAGATAGATATATTGCTGTGATCCAATAGCCGAAATTTACTATTAATTTATGTAACAAAAGTAGCTTCTGACAGATTTTATTTTTTAGCATAACTCGGCTTATAGGACTATTTTGACATGAAATTTTATTTTAGCATTCATTCACTTTTTCATTTTTCATTGACAGTATGTGTGTTCTGTTGATATAATTTAATGTTCTTTCTTTTTTGCCTGTAATAGATGAACTCAGTTGGTCAGAGCCTGGTGCTAATAACACCTAGGTCATAGGTTCAATCCCCATATGGGCCATTCACTCAAGACCTGGACTTGATGGTCCTTATGGGTCCCTTCCAACTCAGACTTGTGTGTTTCTGTGATTGTTTCTCAAAACATCCTAA